GCATCCCACAGTGCTCTTCCCTTCTGGTAGGTCCACTAATTCCCAAGTCCCGACTTTCATTAAGGCTTTTATTTCTTCATTCATAGCCTCTCTCCATCTTGGATCAGACACTGCCTCTGAGTACCTAGTAGGGACATGCACGGAAGAGATAGCAGGCACAAAGGAATAATAACGAGGAGATAAATGTGAATAAGAAACATATTTAGCAATGGGGTGTTGGATAGTACAAGAACGGGTAGACTTACGATGAGCAATAGGGAGATTCAAATCAGAAGTATGAGTGATAAGATTACCTGGAGTAGTTGAGACAGATTGATCCGAGTCCGATTGGTTGCTGCCATGAGTTGGAGGGTCTTTTTTCCTTCTGTTGTAGGTGATTCTTATATCTTTTTGTTGCCTATTAGTGTCCTCAGTTACATCTGCAGCATCAAGAGTGGTAACAGGTTCAATGGGAGCCTCACTAGATTCACCTGGGATGCTACAACTAGGAGGATTAGGAGGAGAAGATGGAAGGCCCGAGGCTGAAAGAGGCACAAAAAAGGAGGGAGAAGAAGAATCCTCTTGCATCCCACTAGTCTCCCCCTGAAGAGGATTCTGGGAAGAATGAAAATAGGATTGAGACTCAAAAAATACCACATCTTTTGTGACGTATTTCTTCTTGGTAACGAGATCATTACACTTGTAACCCTTCTGTGTAGGAGAGTACCCTAGGAAGATTCCTTTCGTAGCCCTAGAATCCAACTTGGTCTTCTTTGGATCCTTTACATGAATAAAACATACACAACCAAAGACTCTAGGTGGAAGAGGAAAGCCCGGAAGATTAGGGCAAAGGACAGAGAAAGGAGTTCTCATACTCAACACCTTGGATGGCATCCGATTTATCAGATATGATGCGGTAAGGACTGCTTGAGACCAATAGTGCTTGGGAACCTTGTGCTGAAATAGTAAAGCTCGAGCGGTCTCCAATAAATGTCTATTTTTGCACTCAACAACCCCATTCTGTTGAGGTGTACTAGCACATGATGACTGGTGTAGCATGCTTGCATCCTCCATGAACAGGTTCAAGGATCTTTCAAAATATTCAACAGCATTATCTGAACGGAATTGCTTAATCTTCTTGTCGAATTGAGTTTCAATCATTTTACAAAATGCCATGGTTATCCGTGGCACTTCATCACGTCCTTTAACAAGTAGATCCATGTGCATCATGAATAGTGATCAATAAAACTGATAAAGTAATGAAAGCCATCTACAAAAACAAGAGGTGAAGGGCCCCAAACATCAGAATGGACCAAATCAAAAGGAGCTTGGATTTCATTACTAGAAATTGGATATAGAGTTCTACATTGTTTTGACAACTAACACACTACAAACTAAACTTTGACTTGAATTACCCTTGAATAATTCAGTAAACAACCCTTGCAATGACTAAAAAGGTAAATGACCTAGCCTAGCATGCCACAAGTGTATCCTAGCTATTGACTCCTCATTATTCTGACTACTGGCAGCAGATGATTGTAAGGCCAAACTGATGTCTGTATTAATATAGTAGAGACCTCCACACTCATGACCGCTCCCAATCATTCTCTTCGTCAGTCTGTCTTGAATGACACAATGAGTAGGAAAGAAAGTTATGCTACAGTTTAAATTCTTGGTAAGCTTTGAAACAGATAAGAGATTGGAAGTAAGATTGGGAACATGTAGAATAGATTTAAGAGAGAGGTCCTTGCTTAGGTCAACCCCCTCTTCCTAGAGATGTGGGAGAGAGAACCATCAGCAACTCTCATCTTATCTTGGTCAGACATCAAGTGATAAGAAGAAAATAAAGAGGACATGTGTGTCATGTAATCAGTTGCACCGGAATCAATAATCCAAGAAGTAGACTCTATAGAACTAGTTGCATTATAAGCAGAGACAATACCTGATCTGGCAAGAGAGGTGGAAGCAAGGGAATTAGCCCTTAGACGGGTTAAGGCCCGGCTAAGGACCTCTATCTCATCAGCAATGAAATCCAAGGACCCAGATGTGTGGGAATTAGCAGTCTGTCCCATAGGAGGATGTGTAACTGTAGATGTGTTCTTCGAGCTTTCACCACTGTGACTAGTAACAAGGTTCCCACTTGCTGTTTGATTCCTCTGAGGCTTCTTGTCTTTCCTTAATGCAGCTGGTTTCAGATGAGGATAAAGAACCCAACAAGTCTCTTTTACATGCCTTTCACCTCCATAATGAGTGCACTTAAGATGCCTCTTGTCCGAATGCTTGCTCCCCTTTTGGTTTGAAGAAATCAAGGCTGAATGTTCAGC